TTTTAAAAAATTTAAAATATTTATCAAGTTTTTACACTCAAGTTTTGACAATAATTTTTTTTAATAGATAATATTATTAATTCATTCACTCTTAGTTGATTGTAAATAAAATTTTATCAATTGAAGTTTTTAACAAGTAATTTAATAATAGAATATGTGAACAAAAAATAATTTTAAAATAACAAAGAATCATTCTTTACCCATGAGTAATGTGCACGGATGAAGTACAAAACTTTAATAACATAGACAATTTAAGTATAAATTATTTGGACTAAAAATTTATATTAATACAAAAAAGAAACTAATTTTATAGATTTTTAGCACAAGAAATAATGAATATAAATTTTCTATGTGAATGAGTAAAGTACAACTATGAACACATCCAAAAATATTTAGAAAAATTTAAACAAAGCTCGCACGAAGAAGTTATTTTGGACTCAAAAAAATTAGATATTGATTTGAACTATTAAAATTTGAGCCCTAAAAATTTGAATCATATTTAAAATACAAAAAATAAAAATAAAAAAGACTATTATACTAAAGTGGTAAATTTTATGGAGGCTTCTAAAATTTGGACTTAACTAAGTACAGAATAATTTTGGATCTAATAAAATTAGAAATTGATTTGAACTAATAAAATTTGGGTCCTAAAATTTTAATCATATCTAAAATAAAAAATAAAAAATTAGGCCTACTATACTAAAAGGATAAATATTATGGGGCCCTTTAAAATTTGAAGCCCTAAACAAACAACTTAATTGCCTAAAGGTTGAGCTGACCCCGCTACTATATTAGGTTTTTATACAACTTTTTGGTTTTTTTTAAGGGACATTTTTTGTATCCATTTATCACTTTTTGGGTAAAGATTATTATTTTTTGAGTACAAGTTACAACTTTTTGGAGTGTTTTTAGTTTTCGGTAGGGTATTGAAATTTTATTTTTTGGAACCATAATGTTTTATCCGATAACAAGGGGACCAATTTAAATTCATCCCACCTCGAAATATCTAAAATTTAGTCAAATTTTTTTAATTCAGGTTGAGGTTGGCCTTGAACAAAAAAATTCAATTTGATTCAAATTCAATAAATACTCTCATTAGGGACCTAAGTTCTCATAACCCAATTCAAATCCAACTTAAAGTCGTGTCAAATTTAGGTTTAACTTGGGTGAAACCCAAATTTTATTTGAGTTGAACTAGAATTCCTACCCAAATTGTGTAGCATGAGTTTTAAATCCAATGTTAATACGAATTGTTTACCTTGCCAGTATACACGTTAAAGAGTTCAAGTTGAATTTGACTTTTGTATCTTTTATTTAGTTTAAATTGAACTCTCAATCGCCCGATTTTCTTTGTGGACTCAAGAAGGCCGGATCACACCTTTGGTACATTTTTTTCAATTTAGCTAATCTTAGGCATGCCCTACTAATAAGTCGTAACTAAAACTCACACGAGTTAAAACTCAAGTTTAACCATGTGATTAACAGATAATTACTATGCAAATATAATTTTAAAAAACATATGATTAGAGCGTTATGAAAAAATATATATATAAAAGTACGAGAGGAACATGCTTTCCAGAAAAAAAAAAAAACTAAAAGAGGTGTAATATAGCTTTCTCTCTCTCCTTCTTGAGTAAATATTAAGTGTAATAGTTACAGCACCTTAATATTGTCACGTGGATTAACCGTCAAATAATAACTCACCAATCAGACAAAATAGACCCCACTCTTTCAAATAATCACACATCTATGTAAGATAGTAATCAAGACATACTCAAAAAAGAAATTCATTTGTTCATTTTTTTTATTTACTATTAAATAATTATACCACATAAACATAATGTGAATGTTACACCAAATTTTTACTCCTCCCTCCCTCACTCCTCGGATCAAGACCATATTAGGAAAAGAATTAAAAAAAAAGAAGTGAAGATTCCAAGAAGTAAAGACTAGCCAGAGCCATCTGGCAAGGCCAAAAAAGATATGCTGAATTCATGGTGCTCCCTCGTGTGTAAAGACAGAAAAAAGGAATCCATTCAGCCAGCTAAGGAGATACAAACTATAGAGAGTCAAGTTATGGTAGAAAAAGCATATAATATATTCTAAAAATGCTTATGGTGGATTTGAAAATTTTTAGGATTTATTGTAAAATATTGTGGTTGATTCCAAAATAACCCTATGTTTTGTATTCGATTGAATTGTATTCTCATCTTAAAGTGTGGGAGAAATTTATCTAAGATGTGATACCAATATGCTTTTTGGGTATAATATCGTAGTCGTGCTTGTGCCTAGGCTAGTAAATCGTTTCGGATAAAACGGATTTGAGTTAAAAAGTGTTCTACACATACATGATTTGTTTATTAATTTATGTTTAATGAATCGTATCATATTAGGTTCGAGTTGTATATATAAATGAATTATGTCGTATATTTTTTTTTAATTGATTTTACTTATATTTGATTCGTTTAATAATCATGTCATGTCGTTTCAGACTTACTTGTTTATAAAACGGGTAATTTAAAAAGATTTAAATCTTCTAATTTCACTAATTTCGTATTGTGTTAGAAGATGGTGTCATATTTAGAGGACATATTTGTAAATTAAGTTCAATTCCATCGGTTTATAAAAACAGCTCAAAGCTGTCGTGTTAAATGCTTCAAACCCACCTCAAAAAAGAAGGCCGAGTGCCCCGAGAAGAAACTCCTTCCCCCTCCTATCCCTTCTCTCTCCCTCTCCCTCTCCCTCTCCCTTCTCTCTATACAAGAAATCCTAGAGAGAGAAGCATATAGATACTGAGAGAATATTAGAGAGCGAGGAGGGAGAAACAGGAAATGGCTGCTGGGAAAAGATTTGCTCTTCTTCTGTGTGCAAAAGACACAGATTACGTGAAGAGTAACTATGGAGGATACTATGGGGTGTTCGTTGGAATGCTGGCGGATGAAGGGGAGACATGGGACGTGTACCGTGTCGAAGGTGGCGAATTCCCCGACGACAAGGCGATCGGAGAATACAACGGGTTTGTGATCAGCGGAAGCTGCGGCGATGCCCACGGCGATGATGTCTGGGTCTGCAAGCTGCTGAACCTAATCAAGAAATTAGATTCTATGCAGAAAAAAATCCTGGGTATTTGCTTCGGTCATCAGGTGCATTTTTTAAAGTCAGGATTATAACCTAAATCTCGTCATAAACCATTATTCGGAAACTCACGTACTTTTTAAGCTCATGACTATAACATAAATCTTGTTATACATAATTATTCGTAAACTCATGTATGAATTAAACTCGAGATGAATTTAAGTTGGCATAAACTTGTTCGATCATTGAACCAACCAGTATAGATGATGATTCATGTTCATTTGTTTCTTTCAATTAGTTGTCTTTTTCGAAACTGTTTTGGCTGTCTTTTTCTTACTTTGGTCTGGTCTGGCTGGTTTTGTAGTTGTGGTTTTTTATCAAGTTGTTAGATGTGGTTGGCACGTCTATGCAATTTTTTTTTTATGTTTTTTAGGGAAAATCTTGGTGGATATAACATTTTTTTTGGATTTTTTTTTTGTTTCGATTTCAAAAAGTATTGACAAGCCGCAAATAATCGAGATGAAAATTTCATTTCGAAAAAGTTGAAATGTCTGAAATATTTCTTTTTTTTAAAGAGATTGAAATGAACAAGTGATGGAATTGAAATTATAATACTTCAAGGTGTTTCATAATGTTTTAAGATGTTTTGTAATGTTTCAATGTATTTGCATAATTGTTTCGAAATGTTTGAAGGTATTTGAAGATACTTTTGTATATTTTGACTAATATTTTGGAAAAATAATTGTTAATATTTTTTATTTTTTTTTATTCTTTTTTTTTTTAAAAACGGATCAAAAACGTTTTCAAAACACGTTAAAAAATTTTCATTTCTTATATAACCGAATCGAAATTTTGATCCATGCAAATAATACGCACACAACTTATCGACGTGTGTCGAAGGATTAAATGTTGCTGTTGAAATACTATTTTTTAGGTTAAGTATTATGAAATACTAAGACGTGATTAATTATATACGACATTTCCAAAGTGAATATGTTTGATAATAATTTTTTGAATTTGAACGGTGAATTTCAATACGAATCCATCGTATAATGACAAAATGTGTAAACCAACAATGCCATCGTCTCCCCTATGAATCAAACTCTTATCGAGACCTAGAAATTTTTAGGGTTAATAGTATTTTTGGTTCTTAAAATATGTATTTTTTGTCAATTTAGTCTTCATTGTATCAATTTTGTTAAGATGATCCCTAAAGTATTCAATTCGTATTATTTTGGTTTTTACATAGACGGACCATTAAATTTTTAATAGAATGATCACATGTTGGGCACGTAACAGTCTAAAAATATAACACATGGTCATTTCTATCAAAAAATTTAACGTATTATCAAAGACAAAAATGACACGAATTGAACATTTTAACGATTAAACTGACAAAATTAATACAATAAGTATTAAACTGACAAAAATTATATATTTTAGGGATCAAAAGTATTATTAACCCAAGTTTTTATTGACAATGTGTCCGCTTTTTAACTTGTGTCAAAATTCAAAAAATTTCCCCATTTGATGAACATAGTAACAGTAACAGTAACAGTAGTGAACCCATTATGTTAAAAAAAAAACCATGTAATCAAGTGTAAGAAGTTAGATTTTTTTTAATTTCATAAATTACATGCAACGGTTCAATCTAAATTTTTTATAACCCAAAATTCATATTCAAGATGTACTGGTTTTATATCTCGTCCCTTTGTACTGTCACTGCACCATCATACTGTCACTTTCATATCAAAATTGATCAGCATATTCCACAAACAACAGGATCTCAAACCTCAAAGTCAATGAGGAACTTCTAACTTCTAAGTGTTAATTGGTTCAGAAATAGTATTTTTAGGCTTATAAAATAAATGGGTTTTGTTTATTAAACAGTGGTTTTTGATTTTACTAGATATTGGGTAGAGCATTGGGAGGAAAGACTGGTCGAGCCATCTCAGGGTGGGATATTGGAGTGAGAACTATTCATTTCTCATCATCATCATCATCGTCATCATCGAAGCTCTTCACATCTCTCAAACTTCCTTCTCCATTGTCTGTGATCGAATGCCATCGAGATGAGGTTTGTTTTACTTTTAATTAAAATATTATTGTAACGAGGTTATCTTGCGGATTCGAACTTTTGCTTAGATTTTCTTAAAATATTGAGTAAAAACGTAATTAGATATACATAACTCCACTAATTAAACTGGAATATCTATTCAAATCCTCTTAGAAGTTCTCATATTCTCCAATACTTCATTAATTTTTTCTTATTATGCGCATCAGGTGAGTCGAGAATTAGGGTATAGTTTATGAATCATGTGTTGTGCATGTGAAAAATTCCGTCAAACTTAACGACGAATTTAAATGAAAAAGACATATTGATACAAATGCTATAATTCAGAGATTAAACTGACACAAAATATAATTCAAGGACTTCGTTGACACAAATGATATAATTCAAAAATCAAATAAATAGTTAACTCCCAAAACATTTTTACACTTTCTCTTTTCTCTATATTTTTCCTTCGAAGTTTAAATTTTAATTTTTTTTTAAAAAAGGATCAATTTAAAATGAGAATGATGGTAAATAGATTGAAAAATAAAGAGATTGTTACAGATCTTGTAGAGAGAGAGAGAGAGACGAAAAATGTTGAAATATGACCATTAGTAGCTAAAATTTGAGCAATTTTAGTCAAGTTTTGATTCTCCATTCATTTCATATGAGTATGATTAAAAGATAGGAGTTTGATTTTGACCTATGCGCACTCAAATAGTTGTACTTTAAGAATTAAATATGCCCAAATAATAAATATTTATATTGTACTAATTCACTGTACGAGATTCCTGTCATTACGGAAACTAAAAAAAGTTAGATATATATAGCGTTATCCCAACAAGTACAGAGATTATTTCTGCGATCTTGTGACTTTCAGGCCACAATATAGTAACATTATCGTTGTGCTGAAACCCACCATCAAATAATAAATATTTATATCAATTTGGCTTCTGTTTTTTTTTCTTGTTCTTATAAGAATGGGCAGTTCAAGTGTTTGTGAAAATGTTCAAGTGGCTGTTGTCTTCTGTAATAAACCAGGTATGGGAAGTTCCTGCGAAAGCCGAAGTGATTGCATGGTCCGATAAGACGGGGGTCGAGATGTTCAGGTATGGTGATCACATAATGGGCATCCAAGGTCATCCAGAGTACACCAAGGACATTCTTCTTCATCTTGTTGATCTTCTTCTTCACCGCAATATGATTATGGTATTTCATCCTCCGATTATCTATGCTTAATAACTTCGATAATTTTAAGTACGGTTTGATAACCTTTTATATATATATATATATATATATCTTACTCATATTTCTGAGTAACATATTGTATTTTATTGTTTTTTTTTTTTTTTCTTATTTAAACTTAGTCTATTCCTCCGAGCTTAATCGCATTTATGTTATCATTCTTTTAGATGTATTCATCTACATCAAGAATAGTAGTCAAGCATTTATTTTATTTTATTTTATTTGACAAATTATTCTACAACTCAACTTATCAGCGTCCTCCCAACATTGTGAATCCTATTCCGTCGTTGTGTTATATTAAAGACTATATGTTATGTTAAAGAATGAAATTTTAAGTTTTTTTTTTGCTACTATTTAGCATGTGTTTTGACGAAATTATTATCTTCGATTTTAAAAAACTGTTACTATATGCTTTTTCAAGTTCTAAAACAAATTAACAAAAAAAAAACCTTCAGAATGGTGTAACCCACCAATCCATAATGGCCTATATTTGTTGATGTTTTTTCACATTATGCAGGACTCTTATGCTGATGAAGTGAAGGCTAGAGTGGAGTCAAGTGAGCCAGACAGGGGTGCTTGGAAAAAATTGTGTATCAGCTTTCTCAAAGCTGGATTGTGATGATAAATCTTAGGGCTTGTTTGGACACATGATTAATGTCAACAAAAGAAATTTGAAAATGTGGTAAATTAGTTATAAATATGAATTACTTTGGCCAGTTTGGTTGAAGAAATGTTCACCCAATAAAAAAAATAAAATTGATGTGTGCAATAGATGTGGGTTATGTGGGTTTCATCTGATATCATCAATGGATCTTTAATTCAACCACACCTAAAATTGACTGCCAACTATTTTTATTTTTTTATTTTTTAGTATTACGATCAAAAGTGTCTAAACCATACATCAGTCTGCAGCCCTTGCCGATCGAGCAGTCTGGGTCTTTTTTCAAAGTAATGACCAAGTCTGGTCCAACTTGAACCAAAAAAAATCGTGGCNCGAGCAGTCTGGGTCTTTTTTCAAAGTAATGACCAAGTCTGGTCCAACTTGAACCAAAAAAAATCGTGGCCCATGGTCTCCTCATCAGACTGACGCTAACATGCTTTTAAGTCTGGATGTGAAGCCACAGACTGTATCCTTGAGGAACTAATGGCCACCGTAATTTACAGATACTGTAGAAAACGACATTATTTCAAGATGTTAAGCAACCTTCTTGACATTTCTGACAAGTTCGCAGATGATTCTATCCATGCAGCTGAATACCTATCTTACCCAAATGCTCCGACGATTCAAATTCAAGCAAACGACCGAAAACTAGAAGTCAGCATGTCATGCCTTCCCAAATTCAAGAATTATTAGCAGCATCACTTCAGATATAAACACCGAAAAGTAAAAGTAATAAGCCAGTAGCAAATATGCAATTAAAAAGGAAACGGATACATCAACAATACCATGGATGTGCCTCTATTTCAACCCCACATGTCATAAGAAGTTCGTAAAAGATCCAAGTTTGGTATCTTTATTGAAATAAAGGGAGTGGGTGTTCATAAAATCATGTCCATTAGCAGCAACAATAATAACTGATGGGAAACGGTAGTAATAATTTGGTACCAATCCACCATCCCACAGTAATCAAAAGCAATACGAGAGGAGTTCCAATGCATCACAAAGCACAGTGGACCATTAAGCACTCATCATAGAGCCTGAGTTTCTCCTGCACTCGGACAACATATCCATATAGAACTGACACTTGCCAATGTCATTGCCAGAGCTATTCAGGCACTGCACAAAACAAAGATGAACAATTTTCAGTATTAACTCTATTTTTTCAATTGATATAGACCTTGGTTTTAATATCAATACAACTTTTAAGATTACATTATAATAACTATGCCTCACTCAAAACACTTATTGGGAAATTGGTCATAGAGACTCGGAGAGTGAAGCACTCCAACTTACTGTAGAAGTGTGCTAAGTAATCATCACCCAAAAAGCAAAAGTACCATGCAAAATTCAGTAAAGCATCATGCTTGAGAACTACAAATTGAAACTTAAAGAGTGCAAGGGGCATAAGAGTAACATACATCTTGGAATGCCTTGGAATGCATGCTGCAAGCCTCAGAGCCACCAATACTGTTTGTGGTGGGTGCTGTGGCAGCATCAGCTCCAGACGCAACAGTTTCATGCTGAATGGTGCGAGGACCTAGCACAGCATCCACAGCCCTATGTGCAACTGCACTTCCACCACCGAAAGCCATGCCTATGACACAAAGAACAGTAGACGTTCAAAATTGTGCCCAGTTTCAACCAAAACACAAGTATACGTGTTGTGTTAAACAACAACTGCAATAATATTACATAATATATCTTCATGTTACCTTGAGCTATGGTTGAGCCAATGCCTCCAAGCATGGATCCACCACTGCCACCTTGAACAGGAGCCGGAGGTGGAGCATGGTGTGCTGCAGCAGAAGAATATGAGAAACATGAGTGATCAAACAAATAAGGCATTGATTAGGTTGATCACGATTTCCCTCTAGATTGAACCTCTAAAAAGCATCCTATCCCCCAAAACCAAACAAAATAATAAAAGAAAAAAAAAACAACAGAAAAGTAATGTGAAAAGTAAATTGAAGACATTGAAGCACAGAAACTTTCAACTTCATGTGAAAGCTGAAATGGTATGTATTGATGCAAGCCCACAGTACCTGGTGCAGGGGGATTACGTGCTGGTGCAGGGGGATTACGTGCTGGTGCAGGCCTAGGAGCTGGACGGGATCTTCCTGCAAAAGAAATTATAAACAGCAGTAGAAATATTGACAATGCAAAGAAACCCAACTAATCCGGTGAGAAGGTAAAATTTAGGAGGCTTCTTTAAGCTTAACCAAGAAGGAAGGTAAAGTCTAGTCCATACAAATAAGGCAAAATCTATATAAGAGGCCACACATTTGAAGCATGTATAAGTCGGTACTCTTTAATGTGTTAGGACTTGGGAGCCCACATAATCATAATTCAGAAATGCAACTGACAATTCGCATGACTTCAGGGAAAAAAAACCCGCACTTGGTGAAAAAGAAATTGCAATACAATTGAAGTAAACACATGATAAGCCTTCAAATAACCTTAACAGACACATAAAACAAGACAAACTCGAGGGCAGGTTGAACTAAAATTATTATTTCTCTACAACATGGAGCAAATTGATGAATTCCGAGTAGACACATATTCGTGCATAGCATGCCTCACGCAAAAACTTCACTAAAAGATCCAAACTCTATATATACAACCAACAATGAGCAAAATACTTTTGATATGTAAGTAAGTTTTATGTTTCACTCAGCATCTGTCAGGTTAAGTAATTATGCAAAGTGTATTCAAAACTATCACTCTGTACTCCTCAATTCATTCTATTTCTTATTCTTAAATACCAAAAGATGCTACCTAAACATTTCAAACTTACATTAAAATCCCCAGTAATCAAACGAAACTAAGGACACATTAGGACCCAACAGCCACAACTCAGTCTATATTTCCAAAACCATATCCTTTACAAAGAAGGTCCCCACAGAATAGTCACGGTAAATAGAAAACAATATCAAAAAACTTTCATATAAAAGCACAAAACCCTGGAAATAAGTCGGAGAAGAAAAAACCCTAACAGATCAACAACCTCTTCAATAGATCGAAGACAGAGAGAGAGAGATTAATAATATAGAAAACTCACCACCAGAGCTTCGGCGAGCCATGATTTCTCAGGTAGAGGCGGCGGAACCCTAGAGAGAGAACGTGAGAAGTTAAAGAGGTCAAAAGTTGGAACTTGTCTCCTCCCAGTCCTGAATTGTATTTATAGACGACGCGCATGAACACCAAATGTGCGGTTTGTTGTGATCGGGTGTGGTGTCACGTCATTACTGACACGTGTCTACATGTTAATGGTTGGTGGTCAGATTTTTTTATTGAACGGACCAATTAGTGTTAAAGTGTACTCAAGAACATTTGGCTAGACCACACCGGATCATATCCTTCCAGTAGGAATCATAGGATATTCCAATCCCCCCTTCTTTGCACGAAGGTTCCGGACTCAAAATTTTGAGTAAATTATACTTTATCCCTTAAACTATCATCTTTATTTTATTTTATACTTTTAATTATAAAATTTTTTATGTTATATCTTAAAATATCAATTTTGTTTCATATTAGTAGTTCAATAGATAATGGTAAGTGCAAAATAAAATAATGGTAATAATTTAAAGGGATAAAATGTAATTTATCCCAAAATTTTTCATTACAATTACACTCAAGACCAAACTTTTAACCAAATATCAACGGTTGTATGATCCAACATACCTTTTGTATTTTGATGGCTTAATTTTCTTGAAATCAACTTCTACTCGCAAGTCTGAGAGACTAAATCGTCTCTTTCTCATCGAGAACAAGCCAAAGATTTTTCTCGTCATCCAAAAACTTCTACCCGCACTTTGGGTTGACAATGAATTGAATTTAGAACTATTTGCAATTAATAAAAATTTAAATATGATTAAAAACTTTTAATTTGAATTTGTTCCGATTATTTGACAAAGTTTATTTATACAGTCCATATTAAAATCTTTAAAAATTAAATAATTATAATAACAAATTACATCTAAATTTCAATATAAATTTTGTTAACTATAACTTAATTTCATCACAAATTTATATAAATATAAATATATTATTCAGATTAAAATATAATCAAATCAAATATTAGTATATCAAAATCTAAATCTATGAAATATGATTTAACAAATTTAAATTTTAAATTCAAAAATTCATAAAAAAATGTGAAATTATATTCATAAATTCAGAAATTCAATTTATTGACAAATTTATGCACACGCGATTCAAAATCCATTTATCAATTTTTTGAGGATATATATGACCTTTATGATGGAGCTTGTCAACTTTTGAGATGCATAATTTTTTTAGATTCACTTACTATTTTTTGGGGTTCATTTATCACTTTTTGGCCCCTTTTTTTCCTTGTATCAAATCTCTTCCCAATTTTTTCAATCACCGGTTAAAGGGTTACAACTTAAAAGAAATTCCAAATACTTAGAGAGGCCACCCTCCCACAGGACACCCCAGTGACCCAATCAACCTATTAATTTCTCCTAACTGGAATTTATTTCAACAACCAAACTATTGTCTAAGTTAACATTAAGCGTAGACATCACCACAAGCACGTGACTAATTTTTTTAAGATTTAAAAAATTTTCTACAGTCCCGAAGAAAAAAATATGGTATCATCTACAAATTATAAATATGACATTGACATTCTCTCCCTACCCAGTGTTATCAGAACCAAATCGGACATTAAACCGGTAAAGGGACCGGGTCAATGATTTACCGGTTCAACTGTTGGATCAACTGGTCGGACCGATCGTATAATAAAAAAATATACTAATGTAACTAAAAAATTTACAATCAAAATAAAAAATAAATAGTGTATTGTGTGTAGTAAGTGTCGTCTATTCATAGACTATTTATTTCATTCTGAAATAAATAGTTGTGGCTTATTCAACACACAGTACTATTTTTTTTTTTGGGATCTTGCACAGTATTGTTATTGAGTGTGTATTAAAGTATGTCTATATTCATAGACTGCCTGCTCAAAAATATTCATAGACTGTGTGTGCACGCTCGCGTGTAGGCAAAGAGAGACAGACAGAGTGAAAAGAGATGACCCAACATCTCTAACTAACTGCGACTGAGTGTGTCTGCATGGAGAGAGAGAGACAGAGGAGAAGAAGTCTGGTGTTCGAACTTCAAGATCTGGACCATCTGCTGTTCGAGTTCTAAATCTGTGGAGTCAAGCCGTTGTTTAAGAGCTCGATCTGGAGAAGACGGAGAAGAGNCTTCAAGATCTGGACCATCTGCTGTTCGAGTTCTAAATCTGTGGAGTCAAGCCGTTGTTTAAGAGCTCGATCTGGAGAAGACGGAGAAGAGGAGGTCTATTTGAGAGCTTGATCCGGAGAAGACGAAGGCTGATTTTGAACTGGCCGATTTTTTATTCTTCGCTTCACCGGTTTTTGGCTTAAATCANAAGAGGAGGTCTATTTGAGAGCTTGATCCGGAGAAGACGAAGGCTGATTTTGAACTGGCCAATTTTTTATTCTTCGATTCACCGGTTTTTGGCTTAAATCGGCCGATTTTTTCGGTTCTCCAACGGTTCGATTACCAAATGATTTTTTTAGTAAACCAGACCGTTGAAGGTTCCAGTTCACCGGTTTATCGATCTGGTCCGATTCTGATAAGACTGTCCCTACCAACTATAATTCCCTCCACAAGATTTTACATTTTTATCCTTACCATTATCCCACTCATTCTATCCACGGCTAAGGTAAACAAAAAATGTGATAATGGATCCCTTTTTGAGCCCCTTAGATGCCCTAATCCTGCACCTTAGTTTGCAATTTAGAATGATTGAGAAATGTTAGACTACAAACATCCTCTAATTGACAATCTCTATCTAAATCTATACCCCTTCAATCCTCAACATAGTCAAAAAAATTTCGTTCTACATATTCATAAGCCTTCTCAAATTCGATCTTTAAAATAAGGTTGTTTACGCCTCTAGATTTATAATTTTCAATCACCTCATTTTTCACTAAAGTCAGATCTATAATCTGTCTTCCCTAACACGGGCCCCTTGAAATCCTAAAATAAGGTAACTTAAGCTCTCCTTTAGCTTTAGTGATTAACACTTTTGCAATGATCTTATAAAGGCCAGTAATAAGGCTAATCGACCTAAAACCCTTGATTCTCGGGAAATTTTCTTTTGTCGAAATGAGGCAAACAAGTGGAATTAGTTAGATTATTCACCACATTACTTTGAAAAAAATTCTGCATATGTTTTCATCTAGTCTACTTTCACCACCTCCCATCACTCCTACAAAATGTTTTCATCTGGTCTGCAAATGTGTTGATGTGTGGTCTGTGTGTGTGTGGTCGTTTTGTATCCTTGAAGGGCCTATGATTGAACTTGGGTTGTCTCAAGTTCTTGTCGCTTGCCTTTCTTCATTTCCAAAACTGTTTTGTTTGTCTTAATTTTCCTCTTTTTTTTTGGTCTCATTGTATTTCTTTTCTATTTGTTTTATTGTTATTGCTGAAATGGTTGTTATAGCTGATTTGTTTATGCATTGTTGTGACTCCTGTCAACTGGAAGCAGGTTTATAAAATCAAGCCAGTGTATAGGCGTGCAACTCGGGCGGGTCAAAGAATCAACTGTGGGTCAAAGAATCAACTGTAGCCCGACTTTAAGTATATAATCTTCAACTCTAATCATAACCATAATTGAACCTCAACCCAAGTTTAATTCGGGCGGGTTTGGGTTGAATTCGGGTTACGTAATTCGGACTGATTTTGAGTTAGAATTTGAGTTGGGTTCGGGTTTTATAATTCGAGCTTATTTCAGGTTAGAATTCGGGTTGGGTCTATTCAAGTCTAAAATTAACTTGTTGTTCTAAATCTAGTACATACTACATAGTATTCACCTAAAGTAACAACCAACCATTTCAATTAGATATTTTACATAAAGACCATAGTATTTAAAATATAAAAATCAATANAACCTCAACCCAAGTTTAATTCGGGCGGGTTTGGGTTGAATTCGGGTTACGTAATTCCAACTGATTTTGAGTTAGAATTTGAGTTGGGTTCGGGTTTTATAATTCGAGTTTATTTCAGATTAGAATTCGGGTTGGGTCTATTCAAGTCTAAAATTAACTTGTTGTTCTAAATTTAGTACATACTACATAATATTCACCTAAAGTAACAACCAACCATTTCAATTAGATATTTTACATAAAGACCATAGTATTTAAAATATAAAAATCTATGATTAACATAAAGACCATAGTAATAAAGTAAAAAAATCAATTTTAACATAAAGACATATTGCTATATTGAATTATATATATATTTTTAAATATAATTCAATATAATTATGTTCGGGTTCAACTCAATTTATATATTCGAGTTGAACTTGACAACTTGAGGCCTCAACCTAGTTATTGCCCGAATTCAATTCGGATTAGTGTTTTTTTGTCTAAGCCCAACCCAAATATTAAAAACCTCAACTCAATCCCTGTTTTTCTTGGGTTGGGCTCAGGTTGAATTCAAATTGGTCCACCCAAGTTGTACCCCTATTGGTGTATGTCTTCATAATTTGTCTTGGCTGTTTGAGAAAATACAAAAATGGGGTATCTTTGATTGTTTTCGCTCATATTAAGAAGCTTTGACTTATGTGACACATTTGAAAGTTTGCATGATTGGTGACCAGGGTGTTACTTTTTTTTATTTTAACTTGATGAAGCAAGTTCAAGGGCCCAACTCAGGTTACAAGTCCAAGGGTCCAACTCTAAGAAGTCCAGTTAATCAAGCTCAAAGGAGTCTGTACCTAGACAAGCTCACCAAGGTCAAAGAGCTACATCATTAGGGGGCATGCAAGGGTCATCAAGAGCCTCCTCTATCACCTTAGAGTAAGGGTCATCAAGAGCCTCCTCTATCACCTTGGAGTAAAGGTCACCAAGAGCCTTCCTCTCGCCGCCTTGGATAGAGTCAACCATCACCTCATCTTTTGACCGAGTCTCATGGAAAGCACCTCAATCGCCTCGCCCGCTAAGAAGAAGTCGTCAGTTCCACCAGAATAGTTATTTAGTTGTTATTAAGTCGCCTCAATCTGTTAGGAGGGAACTATAAATTGTAA